ACCCAGTACTTGGCCTAGGGTACCGTCCAGTGTGTTTTCTGTTCAGAAAATTGTCATGTATTTATACAATGATTTGCTCTTTAGAAAACTGCATGTTCTTCACTTGATACAAATGCACAGCTTGAATCATTTTACTAACTCTAGTCTTTGGTTTAAAACAGGCTTGCTTGAGCTTTCAAGAGAGGGCTTGATGTCGCCTTCCACTTTAACCCGTGCTTCAGTGAGAACAACAGGAGAGTCATTGTTTGTATTACAAAGCTGGATAATATCTGGGGAAAGGAAGAAAGACAGGCAGTTTTCCCATTTGAAAGTGGTAAACCATTCAAAGTAAGTTATTGCTACTATGAGATATTGAAAATGTCTGTTGCTCATGGGGACTCGCTCTAAACCACAATGCACTTGAAATGAATTTTCATCAGCTCTCCTGAGACACCTAACTAGTAAATCTCCTCCCCATCCCAGGGGACCAGGCATTGCAGGCTGGAACATGGCCAGGAGTGGCTGTTGTGCCTGCTGCCACCACTCTGAGTTTAAGCTCTTCTAGAAATGAGAAAGATATCATCCTTAATAAAACAAAAAGGCAGAAAGTCTTTACGGTGCAGTTGGACTGAGACTTACTTCCTTAAATCAACATAGCTGGCACGGCAATCAAAACTAAAATCTTTTTTTTAATTCTAAAATGAATACATACCTGTTTTATGAAAAAAAATTATATATTTTTAAAGCGGCTAAAATGTCCTCCATCCTTCACCCATTCCAATATCGTCACAAAAGTTGCAACTTGGTGAATATCTTTCCAGTATTGTCTATGACACACAACACACTTTTTAAATACTGCTTCAATAAATATTTACTAGGTCCTCCCTGTTGGGCCATGGTTGGCTGTAGAGTGGACAACAAAACACCTCCACTGTAAGCTCCTTGAGGGCAGGGAGAGGAAGGGTCCTATTCTACATCTGGTGGACATCTTTTCCTCTTGAACATTATCACTCAATGGTATGTCATTGTTTAGGTATGTGATAATTCAACCAACCAGTACCCTATTGATGAAAATTTGGAATATGGAAAATTCCAAACAAATAAAACCTGGGAAGGTTAATTTGTTTATTTTACTGAAATACTGTAATAACTACCCTTACAAATCCTTGTTCCCTAGAAGAACAATTTTATTCAAAGAATAGACATGTTTAAAATTTAGAGAAGATATTGCTAAAGTGCTCCTTCTGAAGGATTTCAGAATTAACACATCCACGAGCTCCTGGAAGAGTTATGTTTCCCTTCTCTTTCCAAAACTAGTTATTACAGAGCTTCGTAACATTTGCCACTCTATTAGGGGTTTCCTACTTCAGTGTTTATTTTTTACTTTTACGTGTTTTAGACCAGAAAAAACTTTGTTTTAATGTAAACACTATGTTTTTATTAATGTCTTCCTTTATGGCTTTAATTATATATTTTTTCTAACAATTTTATCACTTTGTTTTGTGTAAATCTTTAAATAATCTAGAGTTTATTTTTGCTTTAAAGTTACTATTTCTGCACTTTAATCCGTTCCAGAAATGATCTTAAAGATGGAACATCGGGCATCCTGAGCTCAGGCAGACTGGTTTTGAAATTAATGGGCATTTCTAACAGTTCTCTGTATGTGCCATTTCACATACAAGTGCTGGTTGAAGCTGACCACTTCAAGGTTGCAGTCAGTGATGCTCACTTGTTGCAGTACAATCATCGGAAGAGAAATCTCAGAGAAATCAGCAAACTGTGAATTTCTGGTGACATAAATCTCACTAGCGCTCCGCACACTATGATATAATCTTATAGGGGAAGATGCTTTTTAAAAAAGGGAAATTGAATGTAAACTTTACACATTTAAAGCGTTCATGTTCCTATGAGTGAAAAGTTTTACCTTCATTCATCAATGTCCTACTTGTAAATCATCCATTTAATAAACACTATAAGAGTTACCTGTCTTCATATGTCATTTAATTGGGACATTTTCAATAATGCACAATGGAAAAAGAAATGTGTAGCAATATTAATACCGTGTTGGAGTCTCCCAAAGCTTTCTATACTTGTTAAAGTATTTTTTTAAGACAAGAAATAGGAGTAAATACTACCCAAAAATTAACCTCTCTCTTCCTGGGTTTCATAAAAAACCAGGAGATGTGACAAGGAAATCATTCTCCCATTTTCTTTCTTAAGGAAATAAAATATATTCAGGAAATGAGAAAAGCAGAAAGAGTTTACCCATAGATGACCCATGACCCATAGGCAATTACTGTTAGCTTTCTATTTCTTTTGACTCCTTTTAAATCCTATTTTGTCTCTAAACTATACTTCACTGCTTTCAAATCAGTATTGGATACCAATATGAGACTATCTCCCCATAGGTTTTCTTGGTTTTCATGAAATCTCTAAATTTGTAGAGGGAAAAAAAGTCATTTCCTAATTAAATGTATATCAGATTCAAAAGTTTAATACTTCCCATTGTCAACATTCTTAACTATGCCTTTCTGCCTTTCCTTTCTTCCAGCAAGCCCAAAGAATAATAAAATTTCAAAACTAGGTTGTGGTCACACCACTTCATTTTACAGAAGACCAAAATATTATTGTATCTATTATTGTCTCTGCAATACCATCTTCTCAAATACTTTAAATTGCTCATTGTCAAAGGTTGGGTTCCCCAGGAAGCAGAGATCAGAATGCAAGAGGTTTATGAGGGAGCACGCTTGTGATCAACTGCTGTAGGGACAAGAAGGTACAGGATTGGGCAGAGGAGGATGTGGAGGGTGGATGCCTCAGCCCACCCTGCAGGGGAGCTGAAGCTGGGATGATCCTTTAGAGTAGTCAAGAGGGGGAAAGGTCCTTGTAGCTGAACTCTAGTCAATGAGTACAGGCCACCTGGGAAACAGGGCAGAAATGCGGTTGAAGGGTCTGTCTTACCCTGAGGCTGTTCTCACATGGGATGATAACTGCAGGCTGTCTGTGCTTCTGATGACTAGAGGAGTTCATTCCTCAGTCCTTCAGAGGGATTGGGCAGCACATCACAGCACATTTTAAAAACTACAGAAATCCCTTAACCTAACATCTGGTCTTGACCGCCTTTCTCCTATGGTTAAATGGAAGAACATAAGCTTTGGAGAAAAGAGGGAGCTCTACACAAAATAACTCCTCTGAGCCTCGGTTCCTTTGTCTATAAAATGAGCAGTATAGTACATCTTTTGTAGGGTTACTGTGATTGCTAAATATTGTTTGCAAAGGGGTCGTCATGTAGTAGGTCTTCAATAAAAGGAAATGCCCTTTCTTTTTGATTTTGGAAAGGCTCTTGTTCTACTCAGGCAGTTTCCTTCCATTTGGTCTTCAAAGAGTTTTCTCATGCGTCATGATTGTAGAGTCCAATAGCCCAGGAACACTCTTTCTAGTTGTAGGAGACACTGATGTCTTCCTTCCCATTCATTCCCTGTTTCCCATTCCTTACTGACTCTTATTGATCTGCAGATGGGCATGCGGCATCACTTGGCCCAACCAGACCAAAGGGAAAGACACAGCTCTGATACCACCCACGGCCATCTTATGACCCCAAAAGGACCCAGCCTTGAAGAAGCTGACACCGAGGGTGACCAAGTGAACTATGAACCGAATGTGGACCTTGATGCTATCACTGAGTTGTTGATAGTAAAGTGCCTCGAATCATCCTGATGACTTATTGTTAAGCCAGTTTGAGTTCACTTTACTGCTACTTAACAGCCAAAAGCTTTCTGAATGACTCAGTAGTACATCTTATTAAACCTACCACGGAGAAAATCCATGTTTACAGACTCTGTCTTATTCTCATCTACTTTATCCTCCAGGACAAATATTTTATGTTGCATATTATTACTTTGTACTCACCTCTTTTACACGTTCCTGGCTCTGCACCCTTAGCAAACCCTAACTTCTATATATATTTCTTTGTTCTGCATGTCTTGTTTGAATTCTTCATTGACAGACTTAATGAATAAATGCTTCCTTAATCTCGGGTAAGACTAGGCATTCTGGGAAACTTCCCCACACAGCTTCCCAACTGCTCACATGGACTTGATATTAAATAGTCTCTCCCACAAGCCAAACAAACCTTCCTCTGACAACAGAAGTAGATGCGCTTTCTTTTCTTATTTGAAAACCCCTAATCTTGAGGGGTTATCCATCAAGTTCCTGCCTGTTTGGTCAACGCCTCCAACCCTCAACCCATTTGCTGACAGAAACAACTGGACCCAGGTCTGGTCACAAGCTTTAGCTACTCCAAGTCTTCTTGGTGCTCTGTTATTCTGACTGTCCTGTCTTCTACAATCTCATAGGTGAGAGTCTTATAAAAGAACATTTCAAACCCATCGTGACTGATATCATTCTCTTCAAAGGAAGAAGGCATTTCCTTCAAAGGCTGTCAGTTATGTCAAAGGGAAAATGAAAAAGGCAAAACTTTAAAAGGCATCTCTAAAAATTTGACCATTTGAAACAGCAGCATGTAAACTGACTTCAGAATCCAGAAAGCTCATCTAAAGAAATGCAGTACACCTGGAAAATGCAGCCTGAAAAGCTGTTCAACACCAACAAATTTAAGAGTTCAAACTAAGAATAACATATGAAAGGATGTAAATATTTCTGTCAAAGTTTAACATATTTTGATTAAACTGAAGAATGTTCATGAGCTGTGAATATACTTAGCTTTAAGCTTAAAGATTTAGTTTTTTGTTTTAAAGATTGGCAACTGAGATAACAACTGTTGCCAATGTTTTTTTTTTCCTTTTTCTCCCCAAATCTCCCCAGTACATAGTTGTATATTTTTAACTTGTGGGACCTTCTAGTTGTGGCACATGGGACACTGCCTTAGGGTGGCCTGATGAGTGGTGCCATATCCGAACGAGCCAAACCCTGGGCCACCACAGCAGAGTGCACGAACTTAACCACACTCCCATGGGGCTGGCCCTAAGCTTAAAACATTTTAAACAAAAAGGCAAGGCACAGTGCATTTTTTATTCTTCATAAAGTAAAAAATATCCCCACATGTCCTGAAAAACAGTATGTCTAAAACACACTTTAGTAAATATTAAAACATTACATAACAGTATATACATGAACATGAATCCATATTCTTTAACTTTTCAGTATCGAAGAACACACTCCAGCATGGAGATTATGAAAAAAATGTTCTGCTTTTTTAAATTCACAGTTCTTCTGGTTGATTTCTATTAGGAGGCGTTCGAGGTGAAAAGGCAATTAAGTCCCCACCAAAGGAAGCGTGTCTGGCATGCTCCTGTCGTCTCCTCTCCACCTGTGTGAAGGGATTGCTGCACCCTGGGCGTGGCTAGAGAACAAAGTCAGAAAAGTCACTAAAGTAACACTCAAGTTTCACCAACTTAGTCTGCAACATTGCAAGTTAATAGTGGATTAATTAATAACATAAATAACATTTTTGTACATAATAAAATTAACATAATGATTATGCTACTTTCTAGCAGATATAATTTCAAAACTATAGCTTTTTTCATTGAACAGGTGATTAGCATGTAAATAGACTCAGCAGCACGTGCAGGATGAATAAAACTGAGGCCACATCTTAAACCACTTCTGTAGAGTCCACAAATCCTAACCCATAGAGCCGCACTTAATATGCCTTTTACTAGTCAGACCCTGTGGGATCCTTTCCTCTGTTCCCCCTCAAGCCCCAGTTCAGGCTCAAATGATGCTATGGAGCAAGTCATAATTTGGGTCTGCAATGGAAAGGGGGACCAACAAAAAATATACCAAAAAATCAAAATTGTAATATATACAGAAGTAGAAAAGAATTCACAGGGAGAGTAAATTATAAGGTACTAAGATTTATCAGCAACATAATGTATAGATAACTGTGAAGAACTTGTAATCATATTACTCATATATGAAAAACAGAATATTATGATTCATGAGCTTCCAGATTTACTTATAAGATCATATATTATCAGAACCTATCATTCTGAGTTCAGATCTAGGAACAAGATGAAGTCAGGTTTCTATAAATGGCCCTTAGGATGAAATGCCTGACCCTCTGGTCTCAGCCTGCAATTAAAGGCAGCTGGAACGAAGAAGGACCAGAGTGCGGATCACAGTAACACACTTCTTTCTGCCACTGAGACACCGGGCCACCCAGAAGCCTCAACACCAAGAAGGCAACTTTGAGAGCCAAGCAAGCCAAGATAACAGAGGTCCTGAAGGAATTGGTGGCTTCAGGAAGCCAAGCATTGGCCAGGCTTCATGAGGTTAACAACAGTTTCCACTGTTTGATCCTACACTTGCTGTAATTAATTGTTTATATTCTGAAATCAAAGATCAGCAAACCAAGGCCATTCCCTGAGCCATTTTAGCAATTGCCCTGGAAAATTTCAAGGTAAGGCTGTCCACCAGAGTTTCAGCCAGGCTACACATTAAAATCACCTGGCGCAGTTCTACCCCAGGTCACTGAACTAGAACCACGTGGAAGGGCAGAAAACCAGGGCAGCAAACACTCAGTGGGCAAGAGAGCAGTGCTGCATCGTGCCTGTGCCAGTGGCCCTGAACACAAGGCAGACGCTCGGCCTGAGAGAAGCCCAGGGTGGATCAGGGAAATGGAGCCCTGAAGTTACAACATGCTTTAGGAACATAACACATTCATATCCCTCTCCTCATACGAGATTAAATGTGTGCACCTGTGCCATGACATGAGGCAACATGGGAGAGACAAGAGCATCTACAGGAAGGCTGCCCAGAGGACTAATGCTGGAGCTGGAGTTAGAGGCAAGAGGTCACCAAAAGTAAAGGCCGGGGGCTTCCAAATAAAATGGAACATAATTAGAGTAATCTAAGCAAATTAGAACGAAAACAGCCAATGGCAACTGAAGCTAGACTAGACATCGTGTCCCCAAGCACATTCTTCAGATGGGCGGAAACCTTGCCTTACACTTTCCTGCATCACTTAGAAACACCTGCATAACACAGGCCACATGTTAGATATTCAAGTACTCAACCTACTTGTCACAGCACATTTGACACATAAGTCACATAAGGAAATACACCTTCAGAGTTTAATACTAAAACATACTATATTTTAAAGTATGTAAACATGAAATTTTGTTCCCATTTTGACAAAAATGAATAAAAATGGATTTCAGAGTAAAAAAACAAGATGCAAATTTTAAACTGCATTTCAATTAAAAACTGAGTAATATTCATTTTATAAAACAAATCTAGAATATAAAAGAACTTTTCAGATTAAGTTGGAAAACTTACTGAATCAAGAAGATGGCATTCAGTCATGAGATTTTTATTATCAAATACTGCTGAAAAAAAAGAATTTTTAACTTTTTAAATATTTTCACAAAGGTTATTAGAAATGGACAAAGCTTTGAAAGATATGATAAGTTCCATATATCAAATGCTAAGACAAAAATATAGGTCCTCTTATGCTATAACAGTTTTTCAATGTTGTTAAATTCTGTTTAGTAAAATTCTCATCCTTAATTTCAGTATAAAAAGGGTCTTCTACAAACAAATCTCATGCTTGTAACATTAAAGGTGCCCAAAAGAATCTCAACGAAGAACACAGCTGGGGAACATGAAATGTCCGTCCAAGGTGATGTTTATTTTGTGTTAGGCACCAGCCAGAAGAGCACCACAGAGCAGCAAAAGAGAGGAGACATCACTATCATATGCTATATTTTAAGAAAAACACAAGAGCCCTTTTTTAATGCATGACAATCACAGCAAAGTAAGTAGGAGTAGGCAGTAGGGAAGAAAAATTGGTCATTTTGAAGAAAGGTTTGACGATGTGTGTTGAAAAGGAGGAGAACTAAAAAAACTTCAGGGAATTTCTCTAATTCTGAGTCTTCACAAACAATGAAGGATCCCAAATAGTTTGGTCCAATGTAAAATGCTACTTATATCCAACATGGATTAGTATCTGCTGTTGATTTTTTTTTGGTGAGGAAGATGGCTGCTGAGCCAACATCTGTGGCAATCTTCCTCCATTTTGCATATGGGAAACCACTGCAGCATGGCTTGATGAACAGTGTGTAGGTCTGTGCCCAGGATTCAAACTGGCAAACCCTGGGTGACCGAAACGTAGTGCACAAGCCCAGCGGCTATGCCACCAGGAAGGCCCAGCCCCTGTTGTCGATTGTTAATAGGTCTACCACAACTGGGGTCTACCTCAGCTGATTTCACTGGAATATTTTGAAATTAGCACATTTACTGTGTTTCAAAAGTTCTGGGCAAAAGTTTTGATACAAATGAAAATAAAACCAAACCCAACCTTCCATAAGCATCTTTTTTTAAGCACAGCCAGAGAAGTGTGATGGTTTGGTGCCTAAGCTTCCTTTGCATCTGAAATTCTCATCCAGCCTGGCACCAACCTGAAGGAAATCACCTCACTCCTCATCATCTCCCTTCCCTCTTGGGACCTGTGACCTTCCTCCCAGGACTGTGGGGTTAGGGGCTAATAACAGAAATGAAGTCACTTAGCAAACACAGAAAAGCAACTTTAGGAGATTTGTCACTTCAAGTAATCTAATCCTATCCATCAAACAAAATCTGCAAGTGTTTGGTGGTGAGGATGTGGTCTATTTTCCAGAAATCACAGACAGCTTATATCACCTCCTGTGAAAACTTTTTCACCTCCCGTACAAGATCCCATCCAACCCAAATACTTTTCTTAAGTAGTCTCAGCAGAAAAACTAACCTGAGAACGATTTAATGGGACTTTTGATTCTAAAAGATCCAGCGTCAAATGTTATACGATCAACTTCCTTCGGCACCGCAGAGCCCATGGCCTCAGCACACTCACCCAGCTGCATCCTCTCTCTCACTGCCTTCTTCACAGCAGTGAGGCAACCCCCATCAGCAATCCTGGCATCATCCTGTTTTGGTTCACTCACTATACCCGAAACAACTTTGTCCTACAAAGAGAAATTATGACATTTAGTAAAGCGACTCGTTACCATCTTATAAGAAAAATAAAGCATACCTAAAATATTTCATACATCTATCTTATACTTATCAAGTTCCTAGTATGTGCTAAACATGCTGGGGGTCAAAGGTAAAGGACAAAGTTCCTTCCCTGAAGGAGCTGGTTGTGGTTGTTGTTGTCATTTAATGTAAACAAAGACAAGACCCTTCAACATGTCTAAAAACTGATGGCAAAGAGAGAACAAGGCTAACTGATGGAATGAGAGGTCAATGAATAAGAGGTCTGAGGGAATGGTTTCAAAGTACAGATAAAAGATTAGTTTGATTTTACTTGTTCAGTAATCTTAACAATGGCCTATAAAATAAAGTAGGAGAGAAACACTGGTGGCAAGGGGCAGAATTACAAGGCTCTGATATAATGTTATCATGACACAGCCATTATCTGCGTCGCTGGTGTTGTTATGTTCCCAGGACTAAGCACTGGATAAAAAATGCCCATAGGAGGTCCAAATGTCCCAGCACCCTTCCTGCTTAATAGACTTGATATTCATTCAATCAATCTCGTCACTGTCCTCAGGGCCTTTGTCATTAGTAAGACATTACCAATGTCTTACTAAGACATTACTGCATTAGTAAAGTAAGGAGATTTCATTAGTAAAATAATCCTACAATAATCTTTTCATACTCTAATTTCTTAAACTCCTAAGACAGAATTCAAAACAGAGTTTTTATTTGGATTACACAGCATAATAAAGTACCAGGTTAGAAATCTGATTTTACAACCACAGGCGTTTTTCTAAAATCTAAAAGGAAAAGTGGCAGGGCTCCAAGGTGGCTTGAGAAGTAGGAATCTGAACCAAAAGCTTGGATTTAAAATATTTTAGGACAAAAATTACTACAAATAGATAAGAATGGAATCTGTCATGTCAACAAAGCCAATTTTACAGAGAAAATAGGAACTTTTCCATGATAAAATTTGAGAAGAAGAGAGAGAGTCTAAGAGTCATTGTTCGTCTTTTCTACTTAAAAAGTTCTTTCATTTTGAAATACATCATGCACAAGAGTATAGAAAGCAGACAGATGGCATAGCCTGTGGGTTAAGAACATGGGTTCTGGAGTGAGAAACCCAGCTCCACCCTGGGCACGTGCTCCAGGCTTCTTGGGCCCCAGATTCCCCACCCGGGGATAATGGCACCCATCTCACAGGACTGTTGTGAGGATTAACTGAGTCAATGTGTATGAGGGCCTGCGAAGCATATTTGGCACATTATATAAATTACATACTACTGTTATTATTACTACAAAACAATGTATAGGTACAGTTTAAAGAATAAAACACACAGGTACATACCGCTCCTTAGCAGCTCAGAAGCTCTCAGGGGGACCAAATTCAATCTCAGCCCCACCTCCCCCCACCCCCAGAAATAACCATCCTGAATTTTATGTTGACCTTTCTTTCCTCACTCTTTCAAAACAATCCGGACATTGTAAGTAATAGATGACACGTTTTGTGAAATGGTGAAAAACCTGAAGCCAAATGTTTCTAAAGCTTAACTTCATTAAAGTAAAAGAGTCTATATTAGAAATCCACAAATTTACTTGAAACATATCTTTGCTCGTATTACTGGCTTTCTCCCATCCGCACTCCTCAAGTATGGTCAGATTGTTGAATTTTTGGCACAGATCCTGTATCTGTTAATAAATAAAGCACAAGATTATCAGATTAATGCTAACCATATTAAATTTACAAACTAATGAACAAAAGCTTCAAACAAATTGACAACGACTTGGACTGGTGACATAAAATTAGACTGTCATTTTCAATTTAGTATTCAAATCAATTATTATGGTAAAATTGTTCACTGTTATTTTATGTTATAAACCTCAAAAATCTACACAAAGGATGTCATATGTGACTAACTCTCCCACACTATTTTGATGACTAAAATGGTAGGAGAGATATCCTAAATTATACAGTGTGAACACAATCTCTCTCCCTTTTTTTTTTTTTTTTTTTTTTTACAGTTTATTTATCCCTTCTCCTACTGAGGAGCATATTCCTTCCTTCCAAGTCTTGGCAATTATGAACAATGCTGCTATAAACATCTGTGTGCACATTTTTGTGTGGACACAGGTTTTCAGCTCATTTGGGTAAACACTAAGGAGCCTGGCTGCAGCATCGTATGGTAAGACTCTGTTTAGTTTTGTAAGAAACTGCCAAAGTGTCTCCCAAAGTGACTGCACCATTTTGCATCCCCACCAGCAATGAATGAGAGCTCCTGTTGCTCCACATCCTCACCAGCATCCAGTGATGTCAGAGGTTTGGATCTTTGCCATTCTAACAGGTGTGTACTGGTGTCTCATTGTACTTTTAACTGGCAATTCTCTAAGGGCATATGATATTGAGCATCTTATCTCTTCATACACTTACTTGCCATCCATCCATCTTCTTTGATCAAGTGTTTGTTCAGTTCTTTTTCCCATTTTTTCAATCAGGTTGCTTGTTTCATCATTATTGAGTTTTAAGAGTTCTTTGTATATTTTAGAAAACAGTCCTTTATCAGATAGGTCTTCTGCAAAATTTTCCCCTAGTCTGTAGCTTGCCTTCTCTTTCTCTTGACACAATCTCATTTTATTTTCATTTTAATTTTTTTGTTGAGGAAGATCGGCCCTAACATCTGCTACCAATCCTCTTCTTTTTTTGCTTGAGGAAGACTGGCCCTGAGCTAACATCTGTGCCAGTCTTCCTGTATTTTGTACGTGGGTCACCACCACAGCATGGCTTGATGAGTGGTGTTGGTCCATGCCTGGGATTGGAACCCGCAAATCCTGGGCCAATGAAGTGGAGTGTGCCAAATGTAACCACTATCCCACTGGGCTAACCCTGGCACAATCTCATTTTAAAGGATTCACATAATATACATACTAGCAGGATGGTGATCCCCATCCTTCTGGTATTTCCAATCTCCTCAAAGTGGTAACCACTGTCAACAGTTGGGTAAATATGCTTTGAGTCTCCTTACTATGCATTTATACAAATAGGTACTCTCAATCTCCCTCTCTCTAAAAAATTTAAATGTCAGAAAGACTCAGGATTACACTTATGACCAATTGATTTTCAACAAAAGTGCCAATGCAATTCAATGAGGAAAAGATAGTTTTTTCCAACAAACAGTACTGGGAAAAGTGGATATGTGCAAGAAAAAAATATTAATTTGGGCTCTTTCCTACACCATACACAAAAATGAACTCCAGAGCCAGCCCTGATAACCTAGTGGTCAAAGTTCAGTATGCTCTGCTTCAGCAGCCCAAGTTCTGTTCCTGGGTGTGGAACCACCCAACTTGCCTAGCAGTAGCCATGCTGTGGTGGCAGCTCACACAGAAAAACTAGTAGGACTTACAACTAGAATACACAATTATGTACTGGGGCTTTGGGGAGGAAAAAAAAGAGAGGAAGACTGGCAAGAGATTTGCTCAGGGCAAATCTTTCTTAGTAAAAAATAAGTAATCACAACTTAATTTTTTTAAAAAATGAACTCCAAATGTTCATAGACCCAAGTGAAAGAGATAAAGCTTTTAGAAGTAAACATAAGATAAAATCTTTTTGACCTATGGTTAGGCAAAAAGAGTTCTTGGAAATAATGCCAAAATCACAACATTAAAAAAAATGATAAACTGAACTTCATCAAAATTAAAAACATCTGCATTTCAAAAGATAACTTAAGAAAATTAAAGAGCAAGCCACAAACTGGGAGGAAATATTTGCAAATATTTCTGATAAAAACTTGTATCCAGAATATACAAAGAACACTTACAACTCAATAATAAAAAGACAAACCCAATTAAAAATGGGCAAAAAGATTTGAATAGATATTTCACCGAAGACGACATATGAATGTCTAATAAGCACATGAAAAGATGCTGATCATCATTACTCATTAGGGAAATGCAAATCAAATCTACAATAAGACAGTTCACACCCCACAGGATGGCTCTACTAAGAGAGACAGGAGCAAGCACTGGTGAGGACGTGGAGCAACAGGAGCTCTCATACACCGCTGGTGGGCACGTGAAAGAGTGTAATCACTTTGGAAAGCAGTTTGGCAGTTTCTTAAAAAGTTAAACACAAATTTACCACATGATCCAGCCATATCTACCCAAGTGAAAGAAAACATGCCCACATGAAGATTTGTAAGTGAATATTCACAGATTATTCGTGATCGTCAAATAGTGGAAACAAGCTGTATGTCCATCAACTGGAGCATAAAGACTGATATATCCATGAACCGCTACTCAGCCATGAAAGGAACAAAGTACAGGCATGTGCTGCAACGCGGAGGAACCACAGAGACACCACGCCGAGGGAAAGAAGCCACATACAAAAGACCACATATTGGGTGATTCTACTTAGAATGAAACGTTCAGAAAAAAAAATCTACGGAGACAGTAAGGAGACTCGTGGTTGCTTGGGATTCGTGGTGGCAATGGGAACTGGCTGAAAACAGGCAAGAGGCATCTCTCTGTGGCGATGAAAATGTTCTAAGTTTGGATTGCAGCGACGGTTGCACAACTCTGTAAATTTACTAAAAATCATTGACTTTTACACATAGAATGGGTAAATTTTATACTATCTAGATTATTTATCCTCAGTACAGCTTTTTAAAATAAATAAAAGCCCCAGGAGCCAACTTGAAGATGCTCCCACTGGACAAAGCTGGGAAATGAGCATCAATAAAGATAATGACTGTAAACGATGCCAACACAAATACTTTTAAATCCATAAAATAATTATGATACTAAGAAAGATAAAATTAATTGGTCACCATTGAAGGATGCTAGTGAACCAACCCATTATTATGTCAACTGGTCATAAAGTAATGCTGACATTATTATGACTCCATAAATACTATTCGCTTCTGGGCCATATAATTACCAGAATATTGTGTTTCTTCACATTTTTCTCTAGACTTAATCATTGCTTTGCTTTTTGTTTGCTTAGTTTTTTAATGCGTCTATCATCAATTCACCTCTAAACTCTGCACAGTATGTATAAATCACCTCTTAATACAACTAGAAAAGCAAACCAATCGGGTATTCTATTCCGTTCAGCCTCAGAGACAGTATCTTGCCTAGCCCCAGCCTCCTGCTCTAGTCTGAACGGCTGCTTCCTAAGCCCGTTGCCCACCCTCTTTACTCACCTCAGCCACAATTCCCTTAGACTTTTTGGGGATCTGTCCCACCTCCTCCCACTTTCTTGGCTTACTCCCTCATTTTTGTGAGGGCTGTTCTCAATTTCCTGAGAAAGGGTGCATGGGAGGTAAAATTTCAGACCGTGTGTGTCTGAAAAATGCCTTTCCACCCTCAAGCGTGATTGGCTTGGTATACAACGCCAGGCTGAGTGTTATTTTCCCAGAGAAGTTTGAGGGCATTGTTCTCCAAGATTTTGATGTCACTGTTGAGAAATCTAGGGCTATTCTGATTCTTGACCCTTTGGATGAAACTTGTTTTTGCTCTCTGGAAGTTTCTAGATGTTTCTCCTTATCCCAAGAGTTGTACAATTATATTTCATTGTGCACTGGTGTGAGTCTACTCTGACTCACAGTGCTAGGCACTCAATGGGCTCCTTCAATCTGGAATTCAGGTCCTCCAGTTCTGGGAAAAATGTCAAACTATTTCATTGATCATTTCCTGTCCACTATTTTTTCTGTTCTCTTTTTCTGGAATTCCTATTATTTGGATATTATACTTCCTAGACTGACCCCCTTAATATTCTTATCTAGTCTCTCCTATTTTCTCTCTCTTTTTGCTCTAATATATGGGAGATCTCAGCTTCATATTCCCTCTTTCTACTGAATCTTACATTTCTGCTCTTATAGTTTTTAACTTCAAAGAGCTCTTTTTGTCGTTCTCGGAATATTCTTTTGTTTCATAGCTGTTCTTATTTGGCAGAAAGAATGTCTGGTCTCTTTGAGCATATTAACACTTGCTTTTAAAGTTGTTTCTCCTGGATCAGACCATGGCCTCATCTAAACAGCTTCCTTCCTGTGCTGCTGCAGCCCCTTCTTCCAGGTTTTGGGCTGTCTGCAAATGTCTCATGGTTTTTGGCCACTGGTTCTTGAAATAGTATTTTATATGCTTATTTCTAAAATAAGCTCAAAAAGCTAGAAAGCGTCATCTCCCAACCTTCACTGGTCTTCCTAGTAATGGCCTCTATCAGCACTTTCTACACCAGATTGGAATGAGGGCTATGTCTGACATGATAAAACTATAAACTCCTCTGGGGTAGAGAATGCACCTATTTGTCAGCTACTCGTACAATGCCTAGCACACAGCAGGGACAATAACTGCTGGATGGACCCAGCTACTGAAGACTCGTCCTCATTTTCTCACACGTGGAATCATCACAGACTAGGCAACAGCTGAATAGAATCTCAATTTCCAACCCATATAGAAATTACCCTGACAATATGCGGGAGGAGCGGACAGCAGCCATAAAATTTAGACAGTGCTTTACAGTTTGTAAAGGGGCTAATATCTCATTTACTATTACAGATACCTAAGCAGCCTCTACTACTCCCATTTTACTACTGTTACCTCACTTCCAAAAACATGCGACTTGAAAGTTAATCCATTCCAAATCCTGGCCACATACCTGAAAGCTGGCCATGTCCCAGAACCCATCCAGGTCTGCACAGGTGGTATCCTTTTTGCCTAGTTTGTATTCCAAATTGTCCAGCAGTTCTTCAAACCGTTTGAATATTTCTGCCTTAACGAGTCTTTTTTGATCAACTCCGAGGGGAATAAGATCTTCTGCTAAGGGAAAGATGAGATTTTTAAAAGCTAGAGAACAGAACAGGACCTTGATTGCAAGTCAGCCAGCTGATAAGACGACCTCACCCCAAATAAACTGGGGCTTCCAGAATCAAACTCTTACCTTAAAGCAAAACAAAAAAACATCGACTACAAAACTTTGTCATACAAATACTGAGCATTAACTGTCTGCTTCTGTTTCCACTAAAACGTAGCAATATTCATTCTCATATATGTTGCTACATAGTAAACAGCATTCTGCTCACCTTGTATTTTATAAGAATTCAACCTCAAACAACCCACTGTACCCCAGCATCTAAGGACTTCACACAGCACACAAATGATTTTTTCTAAAAAGCTTCTCCAAATAAGATTAAGGAAATATCAGAAAATTTGTTCCGTATTTATTTAGGTAATTTTCATTCAGAAAATATTTTGTATAATTAAACAATACTAGATATAGATGTCACTCAAAAAGTCACAAAAAAATCTAATAATAAAATAGGCAAACGTTTAACTCCCAGGAATGATGGGTAACATTCTAATTACTTACAGCTTATAAGTCATCTACCATTTTAGCACAGAGATACTAGTGAACATATGTTGAGATATGAAAATTCTTGCTATTTTGAATAACAAAACTATAAAGTTCGGTAACACTAGATTTTTGTTTCAGATAAATGTAAACATATTAAAATAAACAATGTGGAGCCAGCCTGGTGGCCAAGTGATTGGGTCCATGCACTCTCCTTCAGCAGCCCAGGGTTCGCTGATTCAGATCCTGGGCACGGACCTACACACCACTCATCAGGCCATGCTGTGGTGGCATCTCACACAGAAGAACTAGAATGGCCTACAACTAGGATATACAACTATATGTCGGGGCTTTGGGGAGAGGGAAAAAAAGAAGAAGATTGGCAACAGATGTTAGCTCAGGGCCGATCTTCCTAAAAAGAATAAATAAATAAAATAAAATAAACAAAGCTAAGACAAAAAACATAAATGTTCCCTCACCTTTGTTTGGAATATATGCTTCAAGCTTCCTTTCCCACTCAAGGCAGTTGGTCAATATTAATTCCTCTCTTTCATATCGGGGAATCTTTCTAAAATTATGACATATGTTTGAGTTTTACAAATGTTTTTCATACTAATATCTAAGTATTAGCAATATGACACTTATACAATAGTAATATTCCAGAGCTGATGCTTATTTTATGAACTGTGATATATTAAAATCCATAAATACAAGTTGATATCCTATATATGTCCATCTTTCTACACCTAAAACTTATGTGGATGGTTAATGCCAAGAGCCACTTTCCAAGCTAATATTTCTAGTTCTTTCTGGTCTTATTTATCAGAGATGAAACAGAAAGAACCAGACATGCCTGAGTTCTGTCTTTAGTTCTGGTATTGCCCATGGAACTAAGACCAACCCAACTGCCAAGAGTAAGTTGAAGCTAAACCCTGTAAGTCTGGAATTACAGTGTCAGGGCCTCACAGATTCTAATTAGTAGGCTTTGCTTGTCCAAGGGCAGTAGTTCTCAACACAGGTCAATTTTGCCCCCCAGGGGACATCTGGCAATGTCTAGAGCATCTTTGTCACAAACCAGAGGAGTGCTACTGGTCTGGGATGTTACACAACATACTGCAATGCAGAGGACAGCCCCACAACAAGAATTATCCAATCTGAATGTCAGTAGTGCCAGTTGAGAAACCCTGGCCCAAGATAAATTGAAATCTGTCTCTTTACAAAAAGCATCTTAGCAGGAGAAACTAAGGATAGTTTTTTTCTTAGAAGAAAAATTTAGCTGTTTATATCTAATGGAAAGGAGACTTGGCTTAGATCCAACATTATTTAGTTGGGTAAATTTCTTATTATCTCAATGTCTCAGTCCAACAACACAGTGGACTAGCTCATCTCTAAAATCCCTTACAATAATAAAACCTTATGTTCTACAAACAACTGAAGTGGCTCTGAAATATACTCATTCATAATAGAACAAAACTACAGGAAGTATTAAAACTACAGGAAGATAATATTTCTCCTCTATTTGATTGTCAAATCCCAAAAAAGTGGTTAGTACTGCATTGGAAAAGGTGTGAGAATTTTCTTGCTATATGCACTAAAGGACATAGTATGTCATCATTTCCTGTGTGATGTGGAGCTTTGGGGCCTTTCTCCAGATGCAGTCCTCTGATCTGTGTCCAAGGCATTTAGGTGACACGGCATTTAGGTTCCCAAACAGGGACCCTAATTAATGTTCAGTCTTAATAGTTGGAGAAACATAATACTATCTCACGATTTAGTGGGCCAAGGAGCCTCCAAGCCTCTCCCTCTATCCTTCTTTTATAAAATACACATTAACTTAGTTTCTTTGTTTGAAAGAAAAGGTATGAGAAAATAGGAACTCCCAAATTTTGCTGGAGGGAATGTAAATTGAGGTCTTTATATATTTGCACAGGAGAGGATTGAAAAGCATACAAGCTTGTTCTTTGCAGGCTTGACAGTAATACTACTAGACTGAACTCAATGGAAACAACCAGGAATGGGGACCTACTGAGTAAATCGTGGTGTATCCATACAATTGGATACTATGCAGCCATTAAAAAACACACACAAAAAACAGCATGAAAAAGTTCTTAAAGTACTAAAATGGAATATCTCCTACATTTAACATTAAATGAAAAGAGAATAGTATGCTACTATTTACATTAAAAAAATGTTTATCTACATATGCATTATCTATCTCTGGAAGAATTCACAAGAAATGAATAACGCTTGACTCTGTGGAAGGTTCGAACTGTAGGGTTGGGAGCAGAGTTGGAAAAAGGGTTTCTCACTTGTACCTCTTTCTATCTTTTAAATTAGGAACCATATGAATATACTAGCCATTGAAAAAAAATTTAATTTAAAAGATAAATAAAAATCACTCAATGTCAGTTTCCTAATTCATCTACGTATTATATTAAGGTTAAAATAGTTTAATTTTGGTTTTAAATGTCTAGACATTAATACAAAATGCTTACACTGGGAACAAACGCACAGACCTGAAATGCAGCACATGTCGCTGCTGAGATGTCTGATCTTCATTTCTTTCGAGTGATGGGACTTCTTTTATTGGAAAGCCACGTAAATTTTCAGTAGTGGTTTCATTTTTATTTAAGACACGATCTATAGATTAAAGAAAACATTACATATACATTTCAAAGCAGCAACTCCTAAAATGACATCCCCCACAAGACAAATTTCTTAAATACTTCAATTTTTTCAACATTGAAATTTAAAATTTTATTTCTGCCTCAATGATTTCATTCATCGGATCTCCTTTTAAAGTGTCTCCAATGTTCTTCATCTTTTCACATTTACATTTAGGTCCCCCTCTCAGTCTGTAGTCCTCATTCCAGCTCTGTCTCCAGATAGCCCTCCCCATGCTTTTCAGTCTCTTCTGAACCTGAGATCACACCCTGAGCTACATGGTGAGCCATATGGTGAAAACGGCTTGAAACGATCTCTGATAAATCATAACCCAGAGAAATAAGTAGAAATTTCATTAAAATACCATACCTGTGCTCCCGACTGACAGAGAACTCAAAGGACGTCGTAATTCATTGGAATCTTGATGTACTGAAGTTTTACTTTTGCATGCCAAAATTTCTTTTGTTACTTCTAGAGTCTTATCACTAAAAACAAGAGCAAAACTACACTTCATGAAACATGAACCCCATATATCTCATTGAAGGGTTTCAAAATTATGTTGTTTTTATAAAACATGGGATAAAATAGAAATATGTTTCTGTTTTTTTAACACGTGTCTAATCTGGAGGGGAAAAACCATAAACTCCTCCAGTGGGAAGGCCCGTCTTTACTCCCTGCGATGAGATCCACAGATGCAAAGACCTGTCCACCGGACATACGCACTTAGGAGTCTCAGATGCCAAAGAGCAGCATCAAACTGATTTTTTTCTCCCCACTTTACAAGTTAATCATTTTGTCTTTAGAGATAGTTTTTATAAAGTAATACTCAGTAAAAAAAAAAAAAAAAAAAACACAAACAAAAACATCCAAACCATGTCTGAGCTACAGTATAGCAATTTCTTCTTTCTAAAAATTTATTTCTAAGTGTTATAATAAAGTCACTTCTTAAAAGCAAAAATAAAGCAGATTGAATCATGAAAATAATAACAATGCACAGAACATATCAAACCTGTCAAATACATTATTGTAGCCTTCTGAAAAATTTTTTGGAAAAGTCAAATTTTCATGATTTATAATGAACATAGTTTACTAACTAAATAACTTAAAAAGCACAGGCCAAATCTAAGAAAGGCATTCGTTATCCATCTCAGCAAGGAATTCATTAATAACACCTCATTCTTACACTTCTGTTTTTAAAGAGATGCAGCTGTAACCGGGTGACAAAGTAGCGGTACTTGTTGGAGTCCTAGGTGTTACATCATAGCTCTTCAGACCATCTGGCGGCCGAAACAGAAAATTTGCTGGTGCAAAGGATGGCCTCCCTTTCATTTCTTCAGGATTTGTCTTAGGTAACTTTTCCATTTTTGATAAGACTCCATCTGGATCCGTTCCGTTTGTCACATTGGTTTGTAACTCCAAAGTATTTAATTCACTATAAACTTTAAAAGAAATGACCTGGATGTGAATAAACAGAATAGAGTGAGAATCTCTCTTCTGGGGATATATTTGACCCATTTTTTAGGCCCAAAAATGTGAAAGTTAAGAGATACGTCCCATGTACATAATTTAAGAGACAAAAACAAATACAATTAAATGTTTACATGGAGTCAGAAGACCAGCTACATAAACCATTGCTATCATCCAGAAAGAGGGAGAACCAATCCATATTTAAAAAACTAAATAATAGGTTTTAGGTATTACCAAACATTAAAATATATGAAAACTAAGGTGGAAAAATTCACTCCCCTACCAAATACATATCTTTTTACTTAAAATATGTTGATAATTACAAAGGTTTGAGAATCAGAAATCCAATTTTTATTGGATTACTAGTATTGTCAAGGACGAAATCCCTTTTTTAAAATAACTTTGGATTATTATAAATAAATTTATCATGTAAGCAAAGCTATTTTTCAATGTGACACAGTAAGATTAACCATATAAAATGTGAAGCATATTTTCTTTTTCAAGTCAATCTGTTATTTGGTATTTTGTTTTTACTCTAATATAATTGGCATACAACATTACATTAGTTTCAGGCATACAATATAATGATTCAATATTTGCATATTGTGAAATGATCACCCCAGTAAGTCTAGTTAACATCCACCACCATGCACAGTTACAAATTTTTTCTTGTGATGAGAACTTTTAAGGTCTACTCTCTTAGCAACTTTCAAATATACAATATTATTAACTGTAGTCACCATGCAGTACATTATATTCTCTACTTACTTATTGTATAACTGGAAATTTGTACCTTTTGACCACCTTCCATTTAACCCACCCATTTGAACATAATTTTTAGAGGTTTCTACGTTTCTGATTTTTAATGAGATATGAATTGAAAGCAGAGTATTTCTACCTGGATGAGAGTTTAGGGTAACACTGTCCCTGAGGCCTGTGTGGCTGCAAAGGTAGACACCTTTCCTTATCAATGATCCTTAAGGAGAAAACCAACCTTGAGGGAGGAGCTGTGAGGCCCAGCTGCTCATCTGTGAAGATATATCTTGTACTGCCTTCCTTGGAGGATCTATGTCTGATTTTTGGTAAGAATCTAGCCAGGTTTCTTACACTTTGGCATAAGTTTTTCTTTTTCTTTTCTTTTTTTTTTAAGGCTAAGGAATTTTAGCATGGATTATAAATCAAGGGATTGGGTCCTTGAAATGGTGGCTCTTTTTGAAGACTCTACCAGGCACTACACTGGATGCTATCAGAAACCTCAAGTGATTTAATTCTTGAAACTACTCTATGTAGATATTACATGTTGCAGCTGGGAGAACAAACTCATAACTTCCCCAAGATTATATAGCGAAGCGAGACAATATGCAAACTCAGGGCTAGCTGAGTTCAGAGTCAATGCATTTCACCCACTGCACCCATCTCCTATCTGATTCTCACATGAAGGTTTCCGTCAGCTGTGTTTATATTTTCTCTATTCTGTTAACCAAACTGCACATTCTCTACCTATAAGGTTTTGAAGATGAGACACCTCTCAAACCATAACAGTAAATCCTCTTAATGTTTCCTTGTGCTTCAAGAGGTTTTCACACACGTGGAGTTACCCTCTTGAAGCAGTTCTGTAAGGTTAATTTCAGCTTCATGAAAATAGCAATGAGATTTTCAAAATGTCTGGAAATAGATGTTTATACTCTACCTTGCCTGGTTCTTTTTGGATCCTTTTGGCAGGCTTTCCTTGATTGGGTACTTTTCTTTCTTTTTTATTATCTAAAATAAAAATGACATAAGGGATCCATTTTGACTAGATAGAAAATTCTGCATTAAAAGTACTAGGTAAGGGGCCAGTCCGGTGGCATAGCAGCTGAGTTCATACACTCTACTTCGGCGGCCTGGGGTTTGCTGGTTCAGATCCTGGGCATGGAGCTATGCGCTGCTTATCAAGCCATGCTGTGGCAGGTGTCCCACATATAAACTAGAGGAAGATGGGCACAGATGTTAGCTCAAGGCCAATCTTCCTCAAAAGAAAAAAAAATAAAAAAGTACTAGGTAATTTGGGAGAGAAAAAAGGCAACAATAGGAATCTATGCCTTAAAGGATTTTATGATTAAAAGTCATATTTTAAAATATCCTATTTAAAAATATCCTGTTTAAATATGATAAAAACAGATAAAACTTCCTGCCAAGTATAGGATATCTGTTTTCAAACCAAAAGGTGCTAAAGTATTTTACCTTTTGCCTCTATCAAATGCATGTTTATTATAGAAAATTAGGAAAAGCAAAGCACAAAAGCAATGCAAAAAAAAAAATCACCCAAGAGGAGCTGGCCCTGCTGCACAGCAGTTAAGTTCACACCTTCTGCTTTGGCAGCCCAGGGGTTCGGATCCTGGGTGCAGACCTACACACTGCTTGTCAAAACCATGCTGTGGCAGGTGTCCCACATATAAAGCAGAGGAAGATGGGCAGGGATGTTAGCTCCGAGCCACTCTTCCTCCGCAGGAAAGAGGAGGATTAGCAGCAGATGTTAGCTCAGGGCTAATCTTCCTCAAAAAATAAATAAATAAAAATCAATCAAAATGACATTATTCAGAAATCATCACTGCTGACAGTTCAGGGTATGATTTTCCAGTTTTTTCCTATGTTCACATATTCACATACATATTTTAGAATTGTGATCACACTGTTCAGAATTTGACCTGTTTCTTTGCCCACTTAATATACCCTGAACCATGTCATGAAGTGTCTTTCACAGGATCATTCTTAAATGGTACACTATATTCCACCAAACAAATGGGCTGTAATTTACTGGGGCCATTAATCTTCACTTTGAAGGGCTGCCCACACCAATGCACATACTTCACCGCTTGAGTGCCCACTGTGTGCTAACTGGATGGTGGGGCACAGAACCTGTCTTCGGGACCTGGAATCTCCCATTTCCTCCTCTCCTACTCAAACAAGTACACGATGACTTTAAAAACTGAACACAAAAAACCTCAGGGACCAGAACATTCTGTTTCAGCCACTGATGAAGGAACAGTTCTCACCAAACACCGCTCGCATGGCCGGCGCAGCAGAGCCTGCACCGGTGGAGGCTGCTCCTGTGGTCTGCTTCGCTCTTTGAGTCATCGATGGAGTGGTTCTCATGCACATGGGCATTTCAGGCTGCCCTGCTGTGGGAACCATGAAATTAAATGCTTTCAGTAATTACTAAAGCATTGTTGAGGCAACATCGGAGCTTACAATAATTGCTATCACCCCTACCTGTTTTCTCGTTGGACACTTTCTTTTCAGAAGTTTGTCTTCGATCAGATCGTGTTGCTCGAACATCACTCCCATTAACGATCTATTTAAAAGATTAGGTGCTACGTGATTTAATTGCTTAATGAATCAAATTACCACATTTTCAACCGGTATTTTGACCCCTCATCTGAAATCTGACTATTGTAAATGACCCAGCAAAAAATCCACCACCCCAAATAAGATGAGATGAAAAAAGTTTTCCATTATATAGATTTCCTTACAAGCTTTTTGTAGAATCCTAGAATTTTGAAAACGCTAATAGCCTAAGCTATTCAAAATAGCTGACTATAATCTTCTGAGAGTCCTTAAACATACCAGCATGTTTTTGCTTCAAAACTTTTGAATTTTGTCTGGAAAAGTCTTCTCCAGGATAGAAAACCCTTCCCACAGTGCACTCTCCAACTTCCTTGGAGACTTCATTCAAAACGCCACTGTCTCAGCGAGGCCCCATCAGAATCCCACCCTGTACCAGCTTCAATACTCCCCAACTGCCTTCTCTTTTTTTATTTCCCACATAATACTTATGACCATCACATACTATATATTTTTCTTTTCATTGCCTATCTCACATGTAAGCTCCATGAAAACAGGGAATGTTGATTTATTCATTACAATATCCTAGAACCTAGAGGAACATGGTAGTGACTCAATTTATTGAATACATGAAACAGAGCCTTCTCACCTGATAAAGAGACATACTATTTCCCTCCTTGCCCACTTCACTTTATTTTAGTAACCGTCCTATTAACTTTGTCCATAATGGCGTTCTGAAGACCCGTAAGTTTATCCCCCACCCTATGGGCTTTATATCTCTATCTGAATTTTATAGCGACATGGATGCATAATAGAGCCCAGTAAACAAAGAGAGTGACACACAGAGTTGGTATAGATCTCATAAGGGATGTTTGGCAATGAATATTTCAAGTGAGTACTTCCTTAGCATCTAGCCAAAACTGCTCTATGTCACCATACCAATAACAGGGAGTTTGGTATTGTTAACTCTAGTAAAATAATCACTATGATTGAAGCTGATAATACTTTTAAAATGAATTTACTTACTCTGAGAAAAGGAGCACGATTCATCATTTTAGTAACAATTATCTACTATCAACTACACCCTAGTCAGCTCCATTTGGGCTTTGGCCTTTGACCTGGCAATCCATACAAGATGGAACAGCATTAAAACAGTCAAAAGAAGATAAAGTTGAAAAACATGAACTGCCATAATTTACTTCCATGTCTCATTACAAAATAAAGTTTCCATTTTAAAGTTAAATTTTACCTTTAGATGTAACCCTTAATCATTTATGGCAAAAAGATACTTGCCAAAAAGATACTTGCTAACTTAAATTACTCTCTTTTCTGGTTCTGGTTTGATTTAAATTATGCTTAAAAGCCTCAGAACTTACCCATATTTCTCAATGAGGACAAAGAAATTTCATACTATATTTTCCAGGTATTAACATCCTTGTTAATATGATTAACTGGAAACACTTGGAAGGGGTCAATGAAGAGACTAGAGTATTAAGATCTCTTCTTTTCTGTTTATGAAAAGATACTACACAGCTTACTTTCTTAGCTTTGACAGTTTGCCTTCAAATCCAATGATTATGCACTTGTCCTCTGTCCATAAGAAAACGGAGACCTGATCACAAAGCATGGAAGAAATCCAGCAAGAGAAGGACTGATTAAAAGTGATAAGATATTTGTCAACTCTAAAATTCCTGAGGAAGCACAATCAGACTTCTCTAGATTAGGAGCCACTTGCTTCTCCAAATCTCAGGGAAGATCTAGTGCTGAAGAAATGAGGCACAAAGTAAACAATATTCAGAGATGGCTATTGTCTAAGTAGAATAAAAAACTACTGGTGAATCATATTATTTAACACAAGAATGTGTGTCTTTTTCCCCCTACATATAACACTTTGTAAATCGCTGTTTACAGTTTAGAACAATGACTGGTGTCCTACATACTCTTGAGAAGCCAGATTAAATTCAGCCCCTTCCAAGAGGTCTTCTCTGATGTTCCTCCAAACAGAAACAATCTCGCCCTCCTCTAACACATACACACCATATTTTTCTGTATCTTTCCACCTTGAGCTACATTCTACTAATTTTGGTCACTTCCACATTATCATAAGGTCACACACAGAGTAATCAAAGGTCTGTCAAATAAATCAATGAGATTTCTGAAGCAAAGAAGAACAGGCCAGGGGATATCTTGAGCTTTTATGTTGTTCAATTCTTATTTAAATCAGGAATGAATACACAGCCAACAAGAGACTATCTTGAAAAGAGCAAATCACCAGCGACTACCTAATTTACAAATCCAGCTGCCTGTGTCCAAACTTCATCCCTCTTGACTCATGGATCATTCTCTTCTTTAGATCACCCCTCCTCCAGCTTCTGTCCTGTTTTAGCTCTCCTGCCAATCTGACCTATCACTGGTACCTGACTTCTGCCCACCTGAATGTGCTCTCTACACCTCACTCTTCCACAATGTATATATCTTTACTGGAGTGGTCTCATTTAGCCCTACAGCTTAAACCCCCATCCATACTCCCTATCTCATATCCTAAATCCACATCTCAGCATGGATCTCCATCCTGACTTTCAAATTTTTATTCCCAACTGCCTGTTATCCAGATGGCCCAAATGAGCTTAAAGAAAAGCAGAAAAAGCATTATTAACATGCACTCACTTAGGCGTGCTCCTTTTCCTGTCTTCCAGACCTCTTTTAGGAGCAGCACAACTTATGTGGTTGCCCAAACTAATTTATCTTCAGAATCATCTTATCCCCAACTCTTCAATTTTATTCACCCCTCACCATCTACTTGGTCACCCGTCAAATTTATCTCCTAAGATGTCTCACACCTATTTCTTCCTTTTAAGTCTACTGCCCCAGTCCCCTTATCCTGTCTCATCTATTCTATCACGACAGTCTCACTACAGTCTTCCTACCTATAAGTTCTTCCCCTTCCAGACTACAATCTTCCAGGCAAGGGTAATCTTCCTGAATTATTAATCTGATCACGGTACAAGCTCATGTATAAGCCTCTCTTGACTCTCCGCATCCGACAGGATGGACGCCAAATCCTTCGGACAGCCTTCACCGTTCAGCCCAGATCTAACTGCTTTGCTAGTTTTATCCCATGTCAATGTACCTATGGCTGCATCGAGAGACCTGATGTTCATCTTCTGAACTATCAGTATGTCATTCCCGGCTCCAGCCAACTAGCTAAGTGAATAAAGGGACTACAGGGAAAGGGTTATTTTAGTCATTCAAACTCTCAAAGAATCACTTCTTGGCCTCTTGGCTAAGATCAAGTGTAATCTCTTAAAGAAAAGTCTGGTGAAGAACTGTTCCTGAATATCAAGTTATGATACTAAATTTACCTTTTTTGGCTGGTGTGCTGGTATTGATGAAAGAAAAATAGGTTTATCAGGTCTATAAATACCCACTATAAATGGTGGTCGCTGAGGTTTCTCTCTTAATTTTTTCAGTTGCTTTTCCTCTAGGTATTTCTGGAGCCTTTGTCTTCGTTGATCACTTAGAAGAGACTTCGCTGATCCTAAGCAGGGGGGAAAAATAGTATATAAAACATTTCAAATAAAAAGTTATCCAAATGTCTAAAATACCATTGTCTAACTTCAACAGCTGCTAAGCAATACTTTCAGTAACTTCGTATTAATTCCTTAGCACTCTAACCACACAACTCATTTCAACCCCTATTCTTTTAAAACTTATCTTCCTTTTGCCTTCTCTTGTTCACATATGTATTAACTGCTTGCCATGTACTAGGCATGCCTTACTTCACTTTTAAATTAATTAACTTCTATGATCACCCACCTCCAAGCTCACCTCCAACAATTCTCACCTCCTGGTAGTCACGCCCTTGTGTTGTCCCCTCCACACAGAATAGGGCTGAACTGTGTCACCAAGAAAAGTGTGGGAATGATGAAGTGTGGTTTGTAAGACTGTATCATTAAAGACAGTGCAGCTTGGCCCTGCTCTCTCTCGGATCACTTGCGCTGGGGAAGTCAGTGGCCACGTGGAGCCCTAAGGAGACTCAAACAGCACTATGGAGATGCCACACGATGAAGAACTAAGGCCTCCTGCCAAAAGCCAGCATCCACTTGCCAGTCATGTGAGTGAGTCATCTTGGAAACAGCTCCTCCAGCCTCAGCCAAGCTTCAGAGGCATCCCTGGATGACACCTTGACTGCAACCTGCAGAACCACCCGGCTGAGCAGCACCCAAATTCCTGACCCACAAAAATTGTATGGAATGATAAATGCTTATTGTTTTAAACCATTAAGTTTTGGGGTAACTAATACAATTTTTCCTTTGAGATTAAGGCTAGTTGTCAGTTTCCTTACCTCTCACATATGATTCTCAACTCAGGTTTCTACTATCTACTACTATTCTCATGTTTATTTAAACTTCTTTGAAAAATATGAGTGGCTACTATGTACCAGATATTTTTAGGAAGTAAGAATAAGAGAATTTCTGCCCTTGAAGGGCTCACAGTATCGTGGGGGAGATGAGCACAGTTTCAATTTGGTTTAGCATGGAATGGAGACTACAAGAATGCACCATCGAGAATCAGTATAAATCTGTCTGAGAAGGTCAGGAAAGGCTTGCCAGAAGAGAGAATACCCGAGAAGTGAAGAATGAGAGTGTGTTTGCCCACTGGGTGAGGGTTTAAAATAATCCAGGGAGATGACTGCACAACTCAGTAAATTTACTGAAAAAAGGCATTCACTTAAATGGGTGAATTTTATGGTATGCAAATTATACCTCAATAAAGTTGTTTAAAAGAAATAATCCAGGCAAAGAACAGAAGATGCAAAAGCTCAGATGATGAAGTGGTTAGTCATTGATGAAACCCCTATTATTCTCAACTTCCCTGAAGTTCCTGTTCCCTTCATCTCTTGATCTAACCATAACCTGGCTCTCCTCTGAAAACAACGCTCCCCTAGTTGTCCTCTCAAGTGGTTGACTGTTTTCTTCTCCCACAAAGGTCACATCACTCGGCCTGAAGCTGGCTGGTTGGGGGGGATCCCTCATTGCTGCTTCTCAATTATTTCTTCCTCTTGACTAAAATAGCCCAGCTTTACATTTCATGTCATCAGATCATACTAGACAGTACCCTGACTTGCCATCTGTACATGGCAAGTTCTTCTCTCAGTATTTTACAATTTAGTAAATGGCCACTCCATTTTTTTAGTTCCTCAGGCCAAAACCCTTAGAACCATCCTGACTTTTCTTTATCAAGCTACATCCACTCCATTAGGAAATCCTATTGGTTCAAACTTCAAAATATATCCAGAATGAAACCACCCAGGGTTGCTGTTCCCACTGTGATCAACCCTGAGGCAAATTATTGCAATTTTCTCCTAGCTGGTCTCCAGGAGGCCATGCTGGTCACCTGACAATCCATAAGTGATGCTTTAAAACATAAATCAGATTATAAACACACTAATCCAATAATTGCTTCTCCTGTCACTCAGAGTAAAGCTTGTCTCCCCGTAAAGAAGGCCCTCGGGGCTCTATGGGCATTGTCCCCCTTGTTTGTTCTTCTCTAGCCATGCTCACCTACTTGCTTCTCTGGAACATGCCAGGCCTACTGCCACCTCTAGACCTTCGCAAATGGAAAATAAAGGATATTTTAACAGCATACTGACAGAGTTAGACTTTCCTTGGAGAGATTTTGGTCAAGAAACGGAGTATTTGAGAGGGCTAGAGTAGAAGCAAGGAGCTGATGTAGGCAGCAGTATCACCTCCTCAGAAAAAAGACGTCTAGTTCTTCCTTTAAAGGTCACCCTATATCATTCTATGGCCCAGTTTTCATTTCCTCCCAACTCCTAAGAGATGTTATTCCTTATTTTCTCCCCCTGAACTACCAACCCATTTCCTTTGACCTTCAAACATGCACTGATCACGTCATCTCAAAAACAAAAACAACCCTACAACACTTTTGTCCAATTCTTTTCTCTCATTTTCCTTTAGAATCACAAAAGTGATAAATCTGGAAGAAATATTTTAGCCCAACCTTCTCTTTTACAGAATCAATTAAGCTTGAATATGTTCAATGTGTTGTGCATGCTGTATATTTCACTGGTCCTGGAAAATGATAAAATTCAAGCAGTGAACATTTAAACAACTTGACACCTCATTTATCAATAAAACTTCTATTTTAATGTCCCTTATCCATTCATCTTGTCAACATGTATCTTATTCAAACTCCAGAAGTCAGAACTTTATTATCTATACTGCCGCATAGGAATCCTAAAATGTTACAATACTCCACAAGTGAATAGGACTTTCACAGCCTTTACCTTAAATAGAAAGTATTTAGTCATAGAAAATACCAAGTTATTTAGAATGGTATTTCAAAACTCCATTCTTCTGGTAAAGTTTTTTTTTTTTTTTTTTGATGTGGAAGATTGCCCCTGAGGTAACATCTGTTGTCAAATCTTCCTCTATTTTGTTTGCTGGATGCTGCCACAGGCTTGATGAGCAGTATGTAGGTCCATGCCCAGGATCTGAACCCACAAACACCCGGCCGTGGAAGCAGAGTATGTGAACCTAACCACCACACCACCTAGCTGGCCCCTGGTCAAGGTTTTTTTAATCTTAGGTATTAAACCAACTCCCACCCCCCTTCAAAGCAGTTAAAATTACAATAGCTCTTTACTTACTCTGTCTCACACTCATCTCTTCTCGAATAGGCTCTTGAGATGCCTCCTCTAATTCAAGATTTCTACCTTCCAAGGTTGGAAGGTTGACATCCGTCAAACCAGAGTGTCTTTTTCCTTCATATTTATCATATCTGTCTGCTTCCTCAGAGAGAAAACTCTCCTCAGCAATTTTAGTTCTAATCATCTCAGTATCGAAATCCTTTTTCAGTTGACTGGCAAAATGTGATGCAGTCATCCTGCCAGGGAAAGGAAAGGTAGACAACTTATAGAGGTTTTCATGTTATTTAAAAAATTAAGATTCCAGTTCTCCTCCTGCCCCACCTCAGAGCATTCTGAAATAAAAATGTTTCAGTACAAAATGGAATAAATATGTGACACTGCAGTGTGGGAAGAAAGTTATCAGAAGATAGTACAGTCTATTTTGGGGTTCTACATAGGGCCTTGCTTGACAGATGAAGTGAAACCCAGGAAGCTATGGGTCATAACATAAGAGGCTCTAGGCTCACCGCACAGCATTACAAAGTGACGAGAGTGAAGGAAAGGAGAGGATAGGGAAAGTAAGTAAAGGACAGTATATAGAATCATTTCCTATCCTTTCCCTGGCAATGAATGCAGGCAGCCTGGCATTTTTTCTCAAGCCAAAAAACAAAACAAACCGAACACACAAGATGCCTGTTAGACAGACAGGGATGATAAGCAGGCAGTTGGATATACAAGATTGAGCAAAAGATGGGTTTTTAGAAGAATTAGCATGGTGATACAGAAGGATAACCATACAGTCTGCCGTTTGAGGGCATAATAAAGTTATTTTCAGCCATGTAAGAAATCATATTGTTTACTTGGTACATACTCTTTTCTTAGAAAGATTCTTGAGAGTGTGTTAAAGCAAAACAAGGGAGAAGGACAAGAAACAGGATGTCATGTGTTCCAAGAAATCCTTCATTCAAGTGAGGAAAAGAATAAAGGAAAGTCTAAGGGAGTCACCTATGCAGCTGGAATAGAAAACAACCAAGCCCAATGGGAGAAAGATGACTGATTCTCCACAAGTGTTGCTGGCTTAAAAGAAAAAAAGAAAGAAAGAAAAAGGGGAAGTTCTGCCAATGAGAAGATTAAAAAGTTCTAAGCACACTATACTCTCCAACAACAAGAATAACTGAGACAGTCCACTAGAAAACTCCAGATAAAAGAAAAATCTGCACAAGAAATGCAACCAATTAAAATGTTACGTGATTTTAAGCAATCAACAGAGTATATAAAAAGTGAGAATTCTTCTGACTTGGATGCTAATAACATTTTCCTGTAAGAGCCCAGGGGAAGTGACAAAGGACTCTACTTTTCATTAAGCGTGCTCCTCTATTTGACTTGCCACCTCCTGCAAGTATTAATGTGCTAAATGTTAAAGAAACAATAAACCATTAGTTATTTTAAAATACAGCATAGCACTATACCCCACAAAAAGAGACAGCATGAGGGCAAAAGTTCCAGCTAATAGTAAAGGCGTGTTTAATTGTCACCTAAACCAGCACAGGTGGTTAGTATCATCGCTGTTACACAGGTGAGGGAGAGAACTGCCCGCACTAGCACAGCCAACAGGCGCTGGAGCTGGGATCTCAAGCCCCGCAGCCTGGCTCTTCACATACACAACATCTAAGTTCCCCTCTTGGCTGAGTGGAGTTTCTTCCAGCTTGAAAGTCTGGAATGACTTCCTCTTGCTTGCCTAGAGGTTCCCAACCAGGGCGGTTTTAGTTGTCACTGGCTCTGGGAGCAGCTACTGGAATTAAATGTCAGGGCCAAGGATGCTAAGCATCCTCCCGCCCCAGAGGCCAATGATGGCCCAGTGGTGAAGCGCTGACTGCTACATAGATTATGGCAACAAAATTACTCTTCCGGAGGACGGAGCCTTCGGCTGCGGGAAGGACAGGTAACTGGTCCTAGAGGAGCCTCCCCTGAGCGGCGTCCATCTCGCCGCTGCCAAACCTCAGACCCTTCCAGACCTTCCAGAAGGATGCGAGCCAGCGCCCTTCCTCCAGCTCCCAGCACTCACCTTCCCGAGACAGCCCTTAGAGTGAAACCTCAGTCAACCAAAAGGAAAGAAGCGCTCGGCGTCTGGAGAGCCGCCACCACCTCGGAGCAGTACCGCCTACACCTGAGCAGCACAGAATCCGAACTTCCCACACCCAACCTCTGATTGGAGGGCCTTTGAGCAACCCCTCCGGGAAAGGGGCCAGCCCCTTCTCTCCCACGAGGCTTGCGATTGGTTCTTTCCCTGTGCTATTCGAATTGATTGAAAGGTGAATGCACGGTTCAAAGCATGGGCGGGTCTGAGGATTATGGCTGAGGGCCGGGCACGGGGCGCAGGTGAGGCGGTGCGGGCCCTAATCTGCCAGGAGCTCCAGGGCCTGAGCATCCAAGGAAGAATGAAAGCGCTCCTCGGAGTAGAAGGGACTCAGTGTTTGCAGGGCTTTTTAACGTCCTTATTTAGTCACACAAATCCAGCACAGATTATTGGAACGTTTTCTTCGCTTAATATTTTTTAAAAAGGGTTTACTACCCCAGATTTCTCCTTACATCGCTTAGCGTTACTTTCCAACATCGCCAGGCTTTTTTTTCTCATCCGGTTTTTATTGAGGTAAAATTTAAATACCGTGGAAAGGATTGACCTTTTAGTGTGGGATTTGATGAGTTTTGCTAAAGGTAAACAGATGTGTAAGCACCTCCCAGTCGGGATACAGAGCATTTCCATCACTGAGAGTTCCCTCATCCCCTTTCCAGTCTCCCACTGTTAGGCAGCCAACCACTGGTCTGATTTCCATCACCACACACATAAAGGGGGTAGGTCTTCTTCCAGGTGGGCCTTCTTTCTCTAACCATGCTTCCAGATCCATCCCTACTGTTGCGTGATCAGCAGTTGGCTTTTATTGATGAATCCGCCATTATCATAAGTGATTGAACACACCTCTCTCAGCACTGATTGACCAAACACACAGGATTTAGCAATGATATAAAGAAGATCTCAACAAAACAATTAACCAACTTGACCAAATGAACATTCAATAATCAGAGAATACGTATTTTCCTTAAGCACATATGGAGGAGTTACAAATGATCACACACTAGGCCATGAAGAAAACTTCAACAAACTTCATAGAGTCAATAAAGTTAGAAATTAAAAGTGAAAATAAATTTAAAATCCCTGTTTAGTAACTTCTGAGTTTAAGAAGAACTTATCATGAGAAATTTAAATGTCTAAAACCAAAAGATAATGGAAAAGCAAATCAAGACTTGTAGGATATAGCAAAATAGATGCTTTGAAGGAAGTTTTGAAAGAAATTTTAAATGCCTATATTAGAAAAGAAGAAAGTCTTAAAATTAATATGTGTCCCTCTTAAGAAACTAGAAAAATAATAACTGAGTAAAGTCAAAGAAAATAGAAAGAGATAATAGAAAGTACAGAAAACAGTGAAATAGAAAGTAAAGATACAATAAGAAAATCGATAAAGTTAAAACTTCATACTTTGAAAAAATTAAAATAGATAAAACTCTAGCAAGATTGATCAAAGAAAGAAGACACAAACAATATCATGAATGAGAATACACAAAGGAGACTATATGTTTACCTATTCCTGTGTAGCAAATTACCCCCAAATTTGTAGCATAAAACAACCACCATTTTATTTCCTCTTGATTCAATGGGTCAGGAATTTAGGCAGATCTCAGTGGAACAATTCATCTCTGCTTCATGTCTGTGTTCTCAGCTGGGTTGGCTCAAAAGGCCAGGCACTGGCTGGGATGGGTATTGATCCCCTTTCTAATTCTCTCCTCTCATTCTCCCACTAGAGTGAGAGGATCCAAGGCGGTCTCACTCATCTCTGTGGGCCCTATTGTAGACTATCGAGTGGGGCCATTCTCTCTACATGGTTAGTCTTTCCTTCTCCAGCAGATTCTCCATTTGGTCTCTCTCTCCAGCAAACTAGCTTGGACTTCTTTACAACTGGGTAACTGGGTTACTTCTTGAGGTATGTGGAAGACCTCATAAGACCTCGATTTGGAAGTTCCAGAATGTCACTTCTACCTCATTCTATGGGTCAAATCAAATCACAGGGCCAGCCCCGATTCAAGGGGGTTGAATCTGGATGGGAGGAGTAGCAAAGTCACATTCAAAGGGGAACAGGCACAAGGAGGAGTGATTCATTGGGAGCCATTTTTAGCAACCCACAGCAGAGGCATAATTACACATAAAGAATTATAACGATAAGAAGAGAATACCATCAGAGTGAATACCAACTTTCAAAACTTAAATTAATGGATAAATTCAATAAAAAGCTTAAATAGCCCTACAACTAAATAAAGAAGTTAAAACTGCAGTTAAAACTTTTCCCATAAAGGAAACACCAGGTCCAAATGGGTTTACAGACAGTAAGTTCTAACGTGTTCTTCATCCAACTCGGTTCACGGTAAAATTAAATAGCAGAAGGAAAGCATGTATAAAGAATGCAATCCTCCTTACTAAAAATAACACCTAGAACCTCTGAGGTTCCCACATAAGTGGTGGCAGCTGGTCTTTGCAGCGCTCACTTAATCTCCCTGAAATATATCATCCCTTAGGGTCTTTAGTCCACATGGCCAGTCCATTGATTCCTTGAAACCCAAACAAGACTGGCTTGTTTCAATCAGCACTTTATTTTAAATGCTAGAGGATTATAAAAGGAAAATACCTGTCGCGCTGTGTTTCTTAAATGTTTTCCATTGTGTAGATGTGAGGGTAAAGAGTATGTGGTACCTTCAGTGTTCTAGGGAGAAAAGTGGTCCATCACATTCTAAAGTCAAACTCTCATATTTTTCCTTAAAAGCCATATTGATGCATTTTTCTTCATAAAATGTGCTCTATATGGAATTTATTTTAATATTAAAGTTGTATTTTATTCCCAAAATCTTCAGTGGAGGTAGGTGTTCCAGGAGGGAGCCCCATAATTATCCTATGATCAGGTGTTTTCCAGTGTGAGAAGCACAGAAGATAATCTGATTTGCTGCATACCTGGTGCAGTCCCAAGGGAACCCAGAAATAAGGAGATCTTGCATAATTTTTCCCTCTTCACTTTCTTGCCTCCCTTCACATTTTGGGCATATCTATCAAGCCTATCGCCAAGAGTCTGCTCCTACAGGTCTAGACAAGATCTGTCTACTTTTCTAGAGCTGGCCTGCACAGTTCTGGCTTCCTGATTGGAGAGCCACTTCT